TTCTTTTGTGGCAAAAAGTTAAAATAGGCTTTCGGCCAAACCAAGGACACTGTGTTTTAAAAATACCTCCTTAAAAGTTCTGGTGAATGGGAGACCTGCTGGAAGGGAGAGCTGTGAGCCTGATGGAGTGGATCTCCCCCCCTCCCCCGAGTGGAAAGGGGGACTCCTTTCTTTAGAAAACAGCAGAGTCAGAGAACAAGGCAGGATCAGGTCTATAATGGTGGTGCTCCAGGACTGCTCCTGGGTCACGCTCCTTGGGGTCTGTGGTGCTCCCTGGTGTACAGTGTATGCATAGCCTTAAGGAAACGTTGTGAGGGTTTCATTGGCAACTGTAGTAATTAGCACTAATGACACACCTGATCTCCTGGGCAACACCCTTGGAATCAGCTTGGAGGCAGGGCAGGCTGGTAAATAATTGCCCAGCAGTTGCCTTGAATGCTTGGCTCCTCCAAGTGCCTTTCTTGGCTTGGCTGCATTCTTGAGAAAGCGGAAGAGACAGTAAAGTGATCACCCCTGTCTGCCACTAGAACCCCAATTCTCAGAAGACCTAGGGCTCTGGTATCAAAGGGTGAACAGAACTGCTGGAATCTGAAGATGATAATAATGACAGCAGACATTCATTAAGAACCTATGTGCCGGGCACTGTGCCCGCATTTAATAGCACTACTTCTAGCCATCATATAGTCGCGTATGTAGTCATGATTTGCCTCATCTGATAGATGTAGAAACTGAGGCTCAGAGAAGCTAAGGGACCAGCCCCAAGTCTCTCAGCTACTAAGTAATGAAGTCAAGGATCCAAATCAAGTTCTGACTCCAAAGCTTTTGAATTATTCCAAACTGCCTCGCAATGATGGTACACAAATCATTTCCCCTCATGTAAATTACAGTACCTGAGATTTCTTCACCGAACTGTGAAGACTGAAAGAGTTCACAGCAAATCACAACAGGGTCAGTGCTACAGACCCTAAATTCTCCTTGCATCACAGCAGAGCTTAGCCAAACACGACTCAGCTCCACAGCCTGAATCCTGGTTGGGATGGGTGGAAGACAAAGCCAAATGAGAGCATTGCTGGTTACCTGGAAACCACACACCCCAGAGAGCAGGAACATTATGCTTTCTCCAGACTGAATTATCAGTGGACTGCTTTTCTCACACCTGGGAATACAAACACAAGGTAAAAATGGCTCGTCATCATTAGGAAATCTGAAACCATTTACCGTGTCTAAATGTTTTGATAGGGCCCCAGGAAACTTCCCAATCCTAGACCACTGTCATGAATTAGTGGGACCCACGAAGATTGATATCTGTGCTAGCATTCCAAACTCACCTGTTGTGGAAGAGATGGTTTCCACCTGGGGCAATCCCACAGCCAAGAAAGCAAGCCCATTCACCACCTAGTTATGCACACTTCCAGTTAATGGGGTGTTCACTATCTCACAAGGCAGTCACCCCACAGTGAAACAACTCCTGGAGACTTTAAGTTTCTTCTGAAACTTGTCCACCTATGATCTGTCAAAGAGAATTCCTCAAAGACAACCAAACAGCTAACTTTTTTAAAACAAAATTTGGACTAATTTCTTTAACACAAATTGACAGCTAGACTACACCACTGCCACTTTACTGTCTCTTCCGCTTCCTCAAGAATGCAGCCAAGCCAAGAAAGGCACTTGGAGGAGCCAAGCATCCAAGGCAACTCAGAGGTGGCTGCCTGCTGTAAACAGGCATGGACCCCCGTTTTGCCATACTTCTTAACACTCCCCCATCCCCACACTACCCCCTGCAGTGATGTTGAATCAATTAGTCTGGAGATCTGCATCTCTAATAAGTTTCCAGTTTTCAGTGACCACACTTCGAGCACCACTGGCTAGTGTATCTGGGACGCTGAGGGGGAATCAGCTGCCATTTGTCGACAGGCTTGTACTGTGGGGGTCTCTTCTACCTGGCACGTTTCCAACATCGAATGCTACCTTCCTGGCCCTGGTGGAATTTAGATTTACAATTTCCGGTATAACCAGTAGTGGAAAGCTGGGTCTAAAAGTCCCAAGAGACAGATGGGCCTGTGAGAAAGAGACTGGGACTGGTGGAGGCTCAGCCTGTGGCAGCTGAAGCTGTGGCTACGTGTGAGCTCACCCCCAGGGAGAGTGTGCAGGGGTGATGGGTGGCGAGTGAACAGCAGGCTGTCAGGGGCACCGGCACACCTTGCCTTCAAGGAAGGAGAAAGGATAGTAAGTATTCAAGGAAGGGGCTGGAAAGGGCATTAAGAGGGGTGGGAGGAGGGAGTGGCTGATGGAACACTCTTGGCCTTGTTACTAGAGAGAGGACTGCAGGCAAATATCTGAGGCCAAAGCCTAAATAGTTAAACAGAGTTCCCAGGTGAGCTCCAGGTCTGTGGGAGGAAAGGAGGCAGGTGTCCTGTTACCCTAGCCCACAGCGTGCCTGGTGACCTGCTGTTGCTCCGAGGCAAGGCTCATTGTGGCAATTGTCTCTGAGGTTCTGGTGACATGGTGGCAGCTTGTAGCTGAGCAAGGTGAGTGTCATGTCACTTGCCTTTCTTTTTTTTTTAAATTAACATGATATGTTACTTGAAATGTGCTGGCCTTCTCCTCATGGCCGTGCTGGGGCTGCTGGGGGCTGGCTGGTTTGTTTTTGGGGTGTGTGTTGGGAAGGAGTATCTGAGAAAGGGAAGCGTGAGAGCTAAAATGGAAAAGGTGGGTCGGCAACATTCTGCGACAGCTTCAAGACCAGGCTAAGGGGTTTGGACTCGGCACTGTGGCAACAAGGCGCTATGCTAGCTCCGGCAAGGCAGGGGTGGGGTAGGTGTTGGTTAATACATCTTGGGAGCCCCAGTGCCTGGCACCGGGCCTGGCCAAGGTAGGCATGCCATAAAGGAGGGGGCTGGATGAGTGAATGAATGAGTCTGATGGATAAGGGGTGATGATCTGATCAAAGCAAAGTTTTGGGACAAATAGTCTCAAGAACCAATGTTGGGTGGTTCAGAGACCATCAGCTTTGGAGCCAGGGGCACCTCCACTTGTACGTCAGCTCTGGCCTCCCAACCCGGGAGAACGCTTGACCTTTCCAGACATCAGTTTCCTTGTTGGTAAAGTGGGAATAATGATGCTTGTTTGCAGATTTGCCTTTAGAGTGTGTATCTGGCACTGAGGCTGGCGCTCCCTGCCCTATGGCCAGTGTTCCTACAGAGTACTGGTACCGTGCGCCCCCCTAGTTCTCAAAGCGCCGTGAGGGGAGGCGCTAACCCTGTACCTTCTAGTGCTGCCTTTCCCAGGTGCTGACAGGCTCAGGGAGGTCTGGGGCCTTTCCCGGAGGCTCTTCCCCTCTTTGCAAACCCACCCCCACCGTTTCTTCAAGGCCTTTCTCCTTGAGGCCAATGACCTTTCTCTTCTCTTTCTACTGTACCTTAAAAGTGTGAGTCACATGATCTAGAAAGAACTTGGCTAAATAGGGTTCCATATAATTCTGGTTTGTCAGATTCTAAGTTCCTTAAAGGTAGAAATTATATTTTTTTCTTTAAAAAATTATGAAAGTAATAGATGATGATGCAAAGAAACTTTGAATAGTATAGAGAGGTGGTGAGTGGGTAATAACTTCCCAGATGTAACCATTGCTAATAGCTTGTTTATTTTTCTAGAAATAGTCTATGCTTATGAAATAATATAGAAAATGAATCATATATAGGAATAATAAATAAGCATATTTAATTTAATTATGTTATTTATGAATAACAAATATTAATCATTTATAGTGTGTATATATGTGTATATATTATACATGTATTATCATTGGTCTGTGTAAGCCTGTGTGTCTATCTAGTCATCCATCACCTACCCTTGCGCCATCTATCTATTTTATTTATTTATTTTATTCATTTGTTTATCCCCATTTCACATTCCCATTTCCCTTCTACCTCATAGGCAACTATTCTAATGTGAGAAATATATATATTTTTATATATGTATATATATACACACACATATATGTGAAATATATATGCCTTATTTGTTTTTGCAAACTATTATTAAATGTGATTATGTAAATATATCATTTAAACAGAAATGGATATATATGTGTATGTATAGTAATTATTCCATATCAGTACATAAAAAACTGCCTTATTCTTATCAATAGCTGCATAGAATTTCATTGTGTAAAGATACCATTTTTACCCCTTATTGTACTTTGCTTTCTTATACTTTCCTTGTACTTTGCTATTACAGATAATACTACAATGACAATTTTTTCACAAGCACCTTTGCGCACTTGTATGAGTTTCTCTGTAGAATAAATGAGAATTCTTAGTAGTGAAATATTCATTTTAAATTCTGATTGCTGTTGTCAGGCTATTCTCCAAAGAGAACAATTTCTTTGTCTACCAAGAGAGCGGCAAGTAGAATCTGAGTCTTTGACAACAAACCGGAGGTGTTTTCTAAACCACGAGGTCTGGCAAAAAAAGACCATCGCGCACTGAGCACCGTCTGTTTGCGGAGACACGGCTGCTCCCTTGAGCGCCACCTCCTGGCAGAGGCGGACATCATTCACTCACATCCCATTGGAAAGAATGTCCTCACATGGGATCACACTGTACAGCTGGGAAAGCCAGACAGCAGCCCGCCCCTGTTCCACTAAATCTTGCAGTTACCGAAGGAGAGGGTGGGGTGTGTGGACATTAGGTGGCTCTGCCTCCCATGGCGAGTTATTGGGCTTTATCTTGAGATCATGGTGGGGTTGCAGAAGGACCTGCTTATACATCTGACAGCTCCCTCCTGACCAAGACCTCTGGCAGGCACTCTTGCAGTGGACTTGGGTATGGCTGGGGGTTCACTGAGGACCTACTAGGTGCCAGGCACTAGGCTGGGTTTTTCACCTGCCTCATTCCTAACCACAGGCCTGCAGAGGAGGCTCTGTGATCCCCAGTACACATGGAGGCTTAAAGATGTGAAGGAACTTGCCCAAGGCTGAGGATCTGACTCCACATCTGTGTGTTGTAAAGCCCACACGTTTGCTTTCCAAGCTCTGGCCATGTCAGCGCACACCACGCACACTGCAGGCTCTCGCTGGCCAGCGGACAGCACATAGCCACGTGCCCCAGGCCTAACTTGGGCTCTCTTCTCCTTTTCCAGGCCCTCCCTCAGCTCCTATGCCTGCTGCTGTGGCCTTGGTGACACCCTCCCCAGGTGGTGAGCCCAGAGATTCCCCCACCCATGCAGTCCCCTGCCACCACTGCTGTGGTCCTCAGTGGCCCCCTCTTAGGGGCCCACCCTCTCCCAGCCTTTAAGTTCCAGCCTCGCTGTCAGAGCATGGACTGGATGCGCATCAGTGCCCTAGACGTGGACCGCGTGGCGCGGGAGATGGATGTGGCCGCCCTGCAGGAGAACATCACAAGCATCACCTTCTGCAACCTGGACAAGGAGGTGTGCCACCGCTGCAGGCAGCCTGTGGACCCTGCGCTGCTCAAGGTGCTGCGGCTGGCGCAGCTCAGCATCGAGTACCTGCTGCACTGCCAGGACTCCCTGAGCGCCAGCGTGGCTGAACTGGAGGCGCAGCTGCTGGCCAGCCTGGGCCAGCAGGAGGGGAGCCAGCAGGAGCTGGCCCGCCAGGCTGATGAGCTCAAGGGTGTGCGACAGGAGAGCCACCGGCGTCGCAAGATGATCATCACCCTGCAGCAGCTGCTCCTGCAGATGGACGCCTACAGCTGCCACATGGTAAGGGGATGCTGTGGGGCAGAGACACGGGGAGGGCTGTGCACCCCACCACCGGCCACCTGGGGAGCACCACTGCCTGGGCTCCGAGGCCGCTGTGGCCATTCTCACTGGGGTTGGGAGCAAGTTTTAGAGATGCTGCTTGAAGCCAGAGAGCCCGAGGGTGTCTCATTGGGTCTACAGTGTGTTTAGACTGTAGATGTGCAGCAGGTATGTGTATGAGTGCCTAGAGAGTGAATGTGTTTAAGGAGAGGGTGCATGTCTCATGGGTGCATGTGTGAGTGTATAGAGGGGATGTGTGTGTGTTTCTGGATGGTGTGTATATATGTGTACTGTGCGTATGTGATTGTCTGGAGGTTACATCTGTGAATGGTGTGTGCATGTATGTACGTAGAGTGTGTGGTGTATAATGTGCTTGTGTGTGAAATGTGCATGTAAAGATACATTGATGATGTGTGTATGTGAATGAGTGAAGGGTGTGTATGTGTATAAGAGTGTTTATATTTATGGAGGACGTGTGTGTGTATGGAGGTTTTATGTGTGCTTAGGTAGAGAGTGTGATGTGTAAAGGTGTGTGTGAGAGGTTTGTGAGCATATGTGTGAAATCAGTGTGACAAGGGACTGGCAGAGTCAGGCCCATTCTGGAAAAGTGACTCCATTAGTTAACCAGTGACAAGTTCATTACCCAGAGTGACATTTGAGCATCTGCATCTCTTTCTGTGGAAAATGTGGATGAGGGACAGTAACCCTTTAATAAATTGTCTGGTGGCCAGGCCCTTTGCCAGGCTCTGAGGATGAAGGGGAAAATCATGCTGGTTCATGTTTTTCAGAAATTCATAGTTTGGGGGTGGGTGGGACAAAAGGGATCATTATGATATGATGTTGATGGATTGAGTGGTAATTGATATAATTAACATAATGTTAATTATGATAAAAAGATCAAACCTTTTCAGTAGTAAACGACACAACAGCAATCTAACCTGGTTTAGGCCAAAAAGGAATTTATTGGTCAATTTAACTGAAAAATCCAAGGTTATGGTGGGACTCAGATGGTGGCGCCAGAATCTGTTTTCTCTCTCTGCAGCTCTTGGCAATTCTTTGTCAGTGTGGATTTCATTCTCAGAAAGATTCTGTCCCTGTGGTAGCAAGTTGGGTCGCGGCATCGCCAGCACCTCATTTTCCCAGACTCAAGGCTGGCAGGGTCCCAGAAGCCCACGCAGGAATTCACTTTGTTCCTTGGCTTGGCTGAGATCAGGTGCCCTCTCTAGCACTGAACCACCTGCAGGTCCCAGGACTGCAGGGCTATGATTGGCTTTGGTCTGGGTCACGTGTTTTGCCACGGAGCTGGGGGTAGACCGAAGCTCATGGATTGAGGATGAGGAAGGAGAGGGTAATTTCCCAGAAGAAAGCTGGGGTTCTGTTATCAGAGGATGAGGGAGTGGCTACTGTCCTGCCAAAAACGAACGCTTTCTCCACGTGTCTGTCACAGGTGGAGAAAGCGTTAAGTAAGATAAAGATACAGCTGAGGAGCTGAGGAGCACGGAGGTGGGGTTGAAGAGACAGTCTTCCTGAGACAGTGTTTAAACTGAGTCTTGAATAGGGGGAGGGTATAGCTCAAGTGGCAGAGCGCATGCTTAGCATGCACTGGGTCCTGGATTCAATCCCCAGTATCTCCATTAAAAAAAACAACAAACCAACTCCCGCCCCCCACAAAAAACCTGAGTCTTGAATTAAAATCGATAAACAAGTTTCTACTGTACAGCACAGGGAACTATATTCAGTGTCCTGTAGTAACCTTTAATTTAATGAAAAAGAATATGAAAAGGAATATATGCATGTATATTTATGACTGAAACATTATGCTGTACACCAAAAATTGACATGGCATTGTAAACCAACTATACTTCAATAGAAAAAAAAGATTAATAAAAATAAAATTTCACCATAAAATTAGAAAAAAAACCCTGAGTCTTAATGTTGAGTGCAGTTTTGTAAAGAAGTGCTGCGGGCAGAGGCAGCCAAGGTGCCATCGTGAGATGGGTGGCTGGTGTGATGACTTTGGAATGACCCACGGTGGGGCTTGGGGGTCTGTGGTAAGAGACGTGGAGGAGGGGAAAGTGGAGCCTTGAAGACCCTGGTAAAGAGTGGACTTTAGTCTGAAGGCGGTGGTGGCTGTCCAGTAGTCCAGCTTCAGGTGCCTGGTTGGTGAGTGTGCTGCTTGGGGTGGGATGAGGGGAAGAGCTTATAATTTGAAATAAGATGCCTTATAAAATATCTCCTTCCCCTCAGCCAACCAATATTCCTTCAGATGACTAGAAATTCACGTGTCGCTTTAGAACTCTGGAGGGGGCAAAGTCTGTCGACCGAAGCTGTGTCCATTTGGATTAGGTTTGCTGTGGGTGATAGGAAACCTCAAATCATAATTGCTTGAACCAGACAGAAGTTTTTTTCTCTCTCTCATGAACAAAGTTGAGGTAGACAATCCAGGGTTGCTATGCAATGCCATAGCCATCGCGGACTCAGTTCTGGATGTGTTTCTCGCCAACCCTGTCATAAGGCTTCTGCTTCCTGGTCCAGGAGGGCTGCTTGAGTTCCACCTCTCAGGTCCCCATTCTGTTCAGCAGGAGGAGAGAGGATGAGGCATGTCATGGCACTTTTTTTTCCCTTTCTTCTACTTTATTTGGATTCAATTTGTTTTTCTTTTTCCATTTTTTTTTCCATTAATAGGCTTTATTTTTTGGGGCGCATGGTGCTTTCTTTAATGACACCTTCTAGAAGTGGTTGCAGGTACCACTTCTGTTTACATGTCATTGGCCAGAATCTAGTCACGTGACCACGCCTGGTTGTCCGGGAGGCTAGGACATACAGTATTTATTCTCACTAGCCTCAAGACCAGCTGCAAATCAAGATTTCTGTTGCTAAGGTAAAAGAGAAAATGGGCATTGGGGGACAACTAGCAATTTCTGTCACATTTGCCCTTGTGTAAAGATAGCAAATACTCTGCGCTCTTAACTCTGATTGACTAGTAATGGCAGCCTGCAAAGCTGTGGTGGAACAATTTTGACGTTTTACAGCAAAAAGATGATAAGGATAGATTGTTAGTGTCTGAAATGCTTGAGGAGAGCGAAGTGGAGTTTCAAATGCTGTGTTTACTTTTCTTTGCTCTGGTGGTTCTCAGCTCTGGGTGGGACTTGGACATTGTTGTTTTTGAGAAAAAACTTTGTATTGTGCAAAATTTCAAACATATACAAAAGTAGAGAGAATAACGTAATGAACCTTCCTCTGCACACTGCCCAGCCCAGTAGTGATCAACCCATGACCAAAGGTGTCGGATTTGTTCCTCTACCCACTTCCCCCTATCCTGGGTTATTCTGAAGTGTATTAGTCATATGATTTTATCTGTAAATATTTCATTATGTGTCTCTAAAAGGCAAGGACTCCCACTTTTAAACATAAACATAATACCATCATCATGCCCTGAGAAAACAACAAAAACTTCTTAGCATCATCAAATACCTAGTCATTGTTCATAGCTCCCATGGCACTGGGGAGTGTTTTAAAGGTTAGCAAAAAAAAAAAAGTATATATATATATATATATATATATATATATATGTATAAAAATACATATTTTGGGTTCACGTCACTGCCTTACTCAGTAAATCAAATTCTTCATTTCTAAAGCAGCCCAGGGGTCCCAAGGAAAGGGAGTTTTGATACAGGGGGACTCCCAGGCTGACTCAGGTGAGCTAATTCTGCACTCTCCACTCCCTCCCTCTGTGTAGTGCCACTTGTGTCACAAGATGTTCATGAACGCCACCTATCTCCAGAGCCACATCCAGCGCAGGCACTCAGGCATGGTGGAAGGCGGTGAGTCCAGGTGGTGCTCCTGGGGTGGGACCGTGGAAGGGCCTGGGCTGGTGTTCAGTGGGTGGGAGACCACGTACGCCACCACAGCTGCCCTCAGAACTTCATCATCTGATTGAGGATAGGGTGATCCCAGCATCCGCCGTGGGGGTATTCCACATGGGGTGGGAGGGTTTCCAACCGTGTGTTTAGAGAAAAAGGGCTGGGAGTCAGACAGGTAGGTTCTGGTCTTGGCTTTGTCTCTTTCTGTTATGTGACTGTGGTCAGTGCTTTCCCTCTGAGTCCAGGGTCCTTCACTGGGAATGGGGCAGTCAGATGGAGTGACTTTGAAGGGCCCTTACCTCCCAGCCTTCTGCAAATCTGCTGTTTTCTAATGCCCATCATGAATAAGCTTAAATGGGATTAAGGAGCAATCGGACAGGCTCTTTGGCTTTTTTGTGTACCTGAAGTATCATGACTTAATCACTGTAATTTTACTGTTTCAAATTCTAAAACGAGTAGCATTGCTGTATGTTTTCCCCATTAAGATATTTGCTTACTTTATATCTATTTTTTGAGGTTTGATAAAAAAATTGTTAAAACATTAAATATAGATATGAAAATCTAATATAATAAAATGTATATACATTAAATATAAAAATCCCATGAAATAAAACTTTTTTCTTGTTTTCCTTAATTTTAATTTCCTTTTTGAAGAACAGACGAGTTTTAAAACAGCACCATTTACCTGATTACTATGCATTTATTGTGTATCTAATTCTTCTTGGTTCTGCATTGGAGGCTGCTAAAGAAAAACAGATTTTCTACTTATTAAACATTTTTTTCTGATAAAGATACATGTCTTTGAAGAGATAATTTGTACACTCATGTTGATAGCAGCATTCACAGTAGCTAAGATGTGGAAGCAACGCAGATGTCCATTGATAGATGAATGGACAAAGTGTGATATATACATAAAAAGAAATACTATTCAGCCTTAAAAAGAAAAGTAGTTCTGCAATATGCTAAAGGTGATGTTATGCTAAATGAACTAAGTCAGTCAGAAAAGGACATATACTGTATGATTTCACTGATATAGGCACCTAGAATAGTCAGATTCATAGGGAGAAAAAGTAGAATGGTGGTCACCAGGGCCTAGGGGAAGAGGGAATGGCGAGTGATTGTTTAGTGAGTGTAGAGTTTCTGTTTGACAAGATGAAAAGAGTTCTGAAGATGTGTGGTGGTGGTGATGTTGTGCCCCATTATGAGTGTATTTAATACCACTGAACCATACATTTAAAAATGGCTAAGATGGTAAACTTTATGTGTATTTTATCACAGTAAAAAATTAGAAAAAATATGCCTTTGGTATTGAAAATTAAAATGTAGAAAGGTAGAAAAGAGAAAATAAAAACCATGGACATATCACTGTAGTTAATATTGTGTGTGTTCTCTGTCATTGTTTTATAATCATATAGGATGCAGTTTTGACTACTGCTTATTTTCAACTAAGAATATGTCATATTTTCCAGTGTCATTAAGTCACATTTGAAAATATGATTTTTAGTGGCTGAATAGTATTTTACGTGGCAATCATAATTCATTTCACAACTGAATTATTTCTTCACTTAAATGGGTTACTAAAAATTTCCCTATTATAAATCACATGTTGGTAACATTCTTATACATAAATCTTTGTGCATCTTCCTTATTATTTCCTTAATGTAAAGTGCTGTAAGGAGAGGAAAAATATGTTCTTAAGGCAACTTTGGCTGCATTGATGTTCATTAATTTATTGCTGGGCAGCTGGCTACCAAGGTGCCCCAGCTCACCTACTCTATACTCACCTTAAATCACTTTCTGAACCCAACTTAATTTCTACTGCATCTAAAATTTGCTCATTTCTAAAACAAACAAACAAACAAACAAAAAATTTGCTCGTTTCTAAAAAGTCCCATCTGAGAAAAGCCATATATCTCTTTTCAAAGAATAGGTTAAAGTTTTAATAACAGTACCATCTATCTAATAATTCCTAAATGTACTTTAAAGTAGCAAATGTTCATGTACAATTGGCGTCTTTTTTATCAGCCCGTAACTCTTAGTTTACCAGTATGTGGTTTAGTGAGAATATTCTTCTATAATTCAGGGTTTCTTCAGAATGCATGCTGCCTTTTTCTTCATTTTTTCATGTAAGTTTATTTCGTTGAACTTAAAACTATAATTAATTTTATGGCTTTAAATTCCCTTCTGACTGCTGTCAGAATGCATCATATGTTCTTTGTATTAACAATCTGTGTGCACACGCGGTTTGGCATTCTGCTTCTGTTACTCCACTGGTTTGCATTCACATTTCCATGTGTAAGTACTATCAAATAGTTATTTTTAAATGACAATAATAGTTCTCATTGACCGAGCTGTCCTCACAATGACCCTCTGTCTGAGTTATGTGCTGTTATTATCTCCATTTTCCAGTTTGGAGAAACAGGGTCAGGGAGGTTATGTCGTTTGCCCCAGATTGATGGTTAGCGAAAGTGGCAGAGCTGGTCTCAGACTAAGGTGTGACTGACTGTAAGCAAGGAACTCTGCACTCCACTGACTTTCTGACTTTTAGGCTGCCCAACCACTCTTTGCACAGTCCCCACAGAAAAACAGAAGCAGGAGCAACCAGTGGAGGAGGTGTTAGAAGAGCTGCGAGCCAAGCTAAAGTGGACCGAAGGGAAGCTGGAAGCGCAGAGGGAGGCTAAGAGGCAGCAGCAGCTCCAGGTAGGTGTGGAGAGGGAGTGGCGGGGGACTGGGTCCTGGACCAGCTGGGAGACCCACAAAGTCTGTGCACCTCACAGGGCCAAAATTCCGGCTGTCTCCCAGAGCCAGGGGTCAGAGCAAGGATGGCATCTTCCTGGATGTGCCAAATGATTTGAGGTAGTCTGCAAAGGGAGGTTCGATTCCGTTGACAGACCTGTATGGCCAAAAGCAGAGCAGAGAGTTGCAGTTTCCTGCATTATTTAGCATGTGAACCTGAATTTTAACTTCTTCCAATATACTGTTAGTTACCTTTTGAAGGACAAAGACTGGATAAGCTCCAGAATCCAGCCCAGAGGAGGTTCTCAGTAAATATTTGTAGAATGAAAATAGATAAACTTGCTCACTCAGTCCATCATTTATTCATTCATCACTCCTTCCCTCAGCGAGCATTTATTAAGCACCAACGATGCCAGGCATTCTGAGGAATATAAAGAGAGAAAAGATGGGATCCCCACCCCTGAGGGCCTTTACAGATCAGATAAGGCTTCCCCACTCCCAGTCCAAACAGCGGGGACTGGGGATGAATGTTCTTTGGGTCTCCACAGTGACTTGCAGGGACAAGTCGCCCGAGCCATTTCTCAGTAAATATTTGTTGTAATGTGCAATGGATGATTCTCTTGTTCTTGCTTTTCTTTGTAGGAATCAGAGATGACTCATCAGAGGGAGAAAGAGTTGGATAAATGGAAAGAAAAAGAGCAGGCCAAGCTGTATGGCGAAATAGATGAGCTCAAAAAGTTTTTTTGGGATAAATTAAAAAGTGTTGCTGACCAGAGCTCTACGCTAGAAGAGGTAGCCAAACAAAAGGGCTTCTCAAATGTCTTTAGCTAAAAATTTCCTTATTTGTTCTCAAAATTCATTTCTTTGTACTAGTTCTATGTCATCTGCCATTGGGGGTTGATATACTATGAGGCCAGATACCAGAGGCCAGTGCCTGGGATTGAATCTTGGCTCTAGCACCTACTGGCTGTGTGATCTTAGATGAGTTACTTAACCTTTCTGTGCCTCGGTTTCTATTCTGTAAGGTAGGTTTCTGAAAGGGTTAAATTAGTACATAGACAGCACTTACATGATCTAGTCTATAGTAAGGACTTCCTAGATATTATCCTTATTTTTTTTAATTGAAGTTTAGTTGATTTACAGTGTTGTGTTAGTTTCTGGTGTACAGCAAAGTGATTCAGTTTGTGTATATATATATATTCTTTTTCTTTTCCATATTCTTTCCCATTATGGTTTATTACAGGATACTGAATATAGTTCCCTGTATAATACAGTAGGGTCCTGTTGTTTGTCTGTTATTGTCCTTATTTTTGCAAGGAGCTTTCATCACCAGATAAGAAGTGACGCAAACTTTAAATGAATGCATTTTTCTTCTAACAAGTACCTGCTGAACATTGGCTCCAGGCCAGTCCCTCTGTTGGGGTCAGTGGAGGTCACGTGTGATAGCTAAAATTTACTGAAACTTTTTCGGGCCTTGTGCACAGCACTCTATATACGCTAACTTTTAATGCTCATAACAACCAAACAACTCTAATAACATCCTCAAAGAAGGCACATCATTAATTTATTAATTTTTTTGTTAAAGTCCTTTTTTTTTTTTTAAATAGCTATTATCATTCCTTCTTTTCCTGCGAAGACATTGAGGCCACATAACTTGCCTGAGGTCACACAGAGGTAGAGCTGGGATTTAAACCCAGCTCTTTAAACTTCAAAGCCCCTGCTCTTCTACTGGATATATTATCAAGTTTATCCAAAAAAACCTTATTAAAGTTATCCCTGGACTGTATCTTCCCATATAGACCTGTATAACTAAAACCATATCAGGGAAATGCTTGAGGAGAAATACTTTCACAATATATTTCGCTCTTATTGGTCCCCCGAACATCAAAGAGAATCTTGTGTGGTATTGAAAATGAACTGTCTAAGGGTGTTTCTCATGATCATGCCATGTTTTGTTTGCCTAAAGAAACACCTAGATGACTTTTTCAGGAGGGGATTTTTATAGGATGTGCTTGGAGCCTTGGGTGATCCATTATCTCTATCTGAGATGCAACGCCAAGGATGAAAGGTGGTGGGGTTGCAATGGGAGGTGTGTATGTGTGTGTGAGTGTGTGTCTGTGTCTGTGTGTGTGTCTATAGTAACCTGAGCCCTCTCATCCCAAATGTTCCCCCAGGGTGGTCAGGGATGATTTGTGGAAGACAGGATGCTTCTCCACCATATGGACATCATGCTCCCAACCCCCAGCTCCAAACCCGTCATCCCTGAGCTCATCCGACCCTCTCTGACTCCCACACTTCCCCTGACATGGTCCTAGCTGCCTAGACACTTTAGATAGATCTAGACCTCAGATCTCCATATTAAATGCTGAAGGTAGTTAAAATGTAGGTTTTTCTTTTTCCATTTATGTACTTTTCTGCAGATGTTCTCTTGGCCACTGTGCATATGGCGATGTCATTTGTGTTGTCAGAAAATTCTGAGTATCATAATTAGATTTTCCTCTAAATGAAACTGTACACTGGCCTTTTCAGAAACTGCAGGCGCTTCAGTCCTACAATGTGGGGAAGTCCAACCTTGGGTCCCTGCAGAGTGATGAGTCCGAGCAGCAACTGGGGCAGGCTCAGGAGCTCCAGGCCCTGAAGGAGAGGATGGAAATTCAGGTGAGATGCTGCCCCAGGTCTTTCTTCCCAGAGCCCACCAAGAACTATGTTGTCTTCCAACAGTTTCTATTTTGGCTCTATGGTTTTGGGGAAGTTGAAAGATATCAAAGTTCTGTATTTTCAGACCTTCTGCCAATTCATGAAAGCATAGAATAGGTTCTTAGGGTTCCCAGGTGAGGCTGGTGGTGTACCCATGTGCAGTATCAATTTGCCTAGGATCTTTTTCAGAACACATTCAGCTGTGTATCTAATGGGACACCTTTGCCCTCATGTTGATTCCAACACAGCTGGGAACAGTTCTCAGGCAGTGTGACCCTCTCCTGGCTTTGAAGATATTTGGCACAGATCTAGTGGTGTGATGGTAAATATTTAACAACTGGCTGTCCAGAACTAAAAAAGCTTTGATTTGTAGCATTTGCCATTTTTCATGGTGTAAATATTCCCACCATGGCTGATTTCATGCTGCCTGCGTGAGGTCACTGGATATGGAATTGGGAAGACTTGTATACCGTCTGCTGTCATGAGCTTAGGTAGGAGGTGGCCTGGCCACTGCTGGATGAATCTTACATCAGTCCAGTTATATCCAGTCTGCATCACTGATAATTCCATGACAAGGAAGGGCAATTGGCCCAGTAGTTAAATCACATTGTACTTCTGATTCTCCTCTCCAGGACTGTTAAGAAAGAGCTTAATGTTTAACTGATAGTCAGCAATCAAGTGTTTCCCCTGCTTGATGTTTCACAAGTTTTACATTAAAAAAATCCATTCTTTTTCTATGAACTCTGTTCACATCCTTTGCTATTTGTCTGCTGATTTCCTTACCAATTTGTGAGTTTGTATAATGTATGGAAACTGACCCAACCCTTTGTCGCTCTTGTTGCCATTTCCCCCAGTTTTCTATTGGTCCTTCAGCTTTATCATGGTTTTGACCATACAAAATTCATAATGTGGTCAAAATGATGAGATTATCAATCTTTTGTTTATGGCCACTCTGAGATTTAAACGGAAAATATTTCTGTGTTTTAGTTAGTTCGTGCATTCATTCATTCTTTCATTCACACACGCTACTTTTACGTATGATTCACACGTAGAAAGCTGTGTGTATTTAGTGTGTATAACTTATTGAGTTTAGGGGTAAATATAGCCACGTCTTGGCTATGGTGAATACTGCAATGATGAACATGGGAGTGCGGGTATCTCTTTGAGATCCCGATTTCAATTCCTTTGGATTAATACCAAGAAGTGGATTGCTGCATTATATGGTAGTTCTGTTGAGGATTTTTGCATCTATGTTAATTAGGGATATTGGCCTTTTTTTTTCTTGTAGTGTCCTTGTTTGGCAATTGACAAGAGTAATGCTGGCCTCATAAAATGTGTTTGAAAGTGTTCCTTCGTAAATTTTTGAAAAGAATTTGAGAAGAATTTGCATTAGTTCTTTAAATGTTTGGTGGAATTCACCAGTGAGGCTATTCAGTTCTGGGATTTTCTTTGTTGGGAGATTTTTGATTACTGATCCAATCTCCTTACTCATTATTGGTCTGTTCATATTTTTATGTTTTTATGATTCAGTCTTGGTAGATTGTATGTTTTTAGGAACTTGTCCATTTTTTCTAGATTATCCAATTTATTGCTGTATAATTGTTTATAGAAGACTCTTGTAATCCTTTGCATTTCTGTGGTATCAGTTGTAATGCCTCCTCCTTCATTTCTGATTTTATTTGAGACTTCTCTTTTATCTTTATCTAAGAATTTGTCAATTTAGTTTATCTTTTCAAAAAACCAATTCTTAATGCTTGTTGATCTTTTTTTTTATTGTTTTTGTATTCTCTATTTCAATATATCTTATCTAATCTTTATTTCCTGCCTTCTGCTAACCTTAATTTGTTCTTCTTTTTCTAGGTCCTTGAGTTATAAAGTTAGGTTATTTACTGATTTAGGTCTTAATTTTTTCTTAATGTAAAAGTTTATCACTATAAACTTGAGGTCTTAATTTTTCCTTAATGTAAAAGTTTTATCACTGTAAACTTCCCTCTTAGAACTGCTTTTGCTTCATCCCAGAAATTTTAGTATGTCATGTTTCCATTTTTGCTTGTCACAAGTTATTCTTTCACTTCTATTTTGATTTCTTCTTTGTTCGGGAATGTGTTATTTAATATCTAACACATTTGTGAATTTTCCTGTTTCTCTCCTATTATTGATTTCCAGTTTTGTAGCATTGTGGCTGGAAAAGATTAACTTGATAAGATTTCAGGCTTAAATTGGCAAGACTTGTTTTGTGGGCTAACACGTGATCTATCCTGGAGAATGTTCCTTGGGCATTTGAAGAGGATGTGTACTCTGCTACTTGGATGAAATGTTCTTTGTGTGTCTGTTCAGTCTATTTGGTCTGTAGTGCTGTTCAAGTCCACTGTTTATTTACTGATTTTGTGTCTGGATGATATATCCATTGTTGAAAGTGGGGTATTGAAATCCCCTACTATTATTATATTGCTGTCTATTTCTCCCTTCCGTTCTGTTAATATTTGCTTTATATGTTTTAGTGCTCCTATGTTGGGTGTATATATAGTCGTTCCTCAGTATCCAAAGGAGATTGGGTCCAGGACCCCCTGTGAATACCAAAATCCTCAGATGCTCAAGTCCCTTATATTTTTGCGTATAACTTAAGCACATCCTCCTGTACACTTTACATCATCTATATATTACTTATAATACCCCATACAATTTAAATTCTATATAAATATTTGTAAATTCTGTATAAATAGTTGCTAGCATGAGGCAAATTCAAGTTTTGCTTTTCAGAACTTTCTGGAATTTTTCTTTCAAATATGTTTGATCCACGGTTGGTTGAATCCATGGATGTGGAATACACAGGTGTGGAACGATGGATATGGAGGGCTGACTGTGTATTTACAGTTGTATATCCTCTTGATGAATTCACCCCTTTATCATTATATAGTGACCTTCTTTGTCTCTTGTGATAGCTTTTGACTTAAAACCTGTTTTGTATGATATAAGTGTAGCTACTCTCCTCTCTTTTGTTTACCATTTACATGAAATATCTTCTCTCATCACTTCAGTTTCAGCTGATGTGTGCCCTTAAACCTAACATGAATCTCTTGTAAGCAGCATGTAGATGGATCTTGGTTTTTTTTTTATTTTACAGTATCTCTTTTATTTTATTTATTTATTTTTTAACTTTTTTTATTGAGTTATAGTCATTTTACATACTTGGATCTTGTATTTAAAATCCATTCAGCCACTCTTCACCTTTTGATTGGAGAATTTAATCCATTTAAATTGACAGTAATTACTGATAGGTAAGGACTTGCTGTTTCCATTTTATTAATTTTTTTCAGACTGCTCTGTAGTTACTTTGTCCCTTGTTTTCTCTCTTGCTGTCTTCCTTTGTGAGTTGCCTTGATTCCTTTCTCTTTATTTCTTGTGTATCAGCTACAGGCTTTTTCTTTGTGATCAGTATTGGACTTACATAACACATGTTATAGTTACAGCAGTCTGTTTTAAGCTGAAAACAACTTAATTTTGATTGCAGAGTCTACCCTTTTGCTTCTTCTCTTCCACACCTCCTGGTGCCCACAAGCCAACCAGTAGGATCTACAGCCAGTGTTAAGATCCGAGTACCAGCACCAAAAGCCGATTCGGCCATGCTGATTCCCTCGGTTCTGGGTGGGGTGAGACAGAAGTGGGCCTCCTGGGCAGTGTCCCTGAAGGCTGGGACAGTTGGGTGCTCACTTGCTCTCACTTCCATGGGAGAGACTGTGGGCTGAGGGGGGTCTCTTGGCACTGAGCTGTGCTGCCTTGGGTGAGGGGTGACACAGGTAGAGTGAAACTCTTCTTCCCCTTTTCAACGTGTCTGTTCTTGAGTTTTTTGCTCCACCGAGGTACTGGGACCTCTCAGCTGGATTCCTGGGCTCCCATAAAGGTATTCTCATTTGTGGATGTTTTAAGAGCTGGCACCTCCTTGTCCATCATCTTGCTGATGTCACTTCTATTTATTAAGTTGAAATTTTTTACCACCTAGGATTTATTTTGATTTAAGGTATGAAATAAGGATCCAAGTTCACATTTTTTTTCAGGTAGTTGCTTGTTTGAACATTTGTCAATAATCTGTCTTCCTCCAGACGAAGATTCCATTCCTCCCCCCACTCCCCTTGGTCTGGGCTTTCTGTTCTTTTCACTGCTCTCTCTGTCTACTCGTGAGCCAGAACTTTTTAATTCTTATAGCTTTATAATGTATTTTAATATCAAGGGGCCCATTTGATAAATGTTTAATCTTCTTTAGGAAACAGAATGGAAGAGAAAAATGAAGGCAATTCGAGAAGAGCATGCAGCTCAGAAGAGAGAGGTAGGTCTCATTAGATGGTCTGGGGGAGCCTGATTTCCCATAATCTCCTCTCATCCTTCAGCTTCCCGTCCTTTGCCCCCCACCTTGAACTGGTTGGCAGATTTTTTTTTAAATTAAAGATAGTTGATTCACAATGCTGTGTTAGTTTCTGGTGTACAGCATAGTGATTCAGTTTAACATATACATATGTATTTCATTATAAACATATATATACATAACATATATATATTTTTCATTATAGGTTATTACAAGATACTGAATATAGTCCCCTGTGCTAGGACATTGCTGTTTATCTATTTTTATATAGTAGTTTGTATCTGCTTATCCCGAACTCATAATTTATCCCTCCCCCAGCCCCTTTCCCCTCTGGTAACCATAAGTTTGTTTTCTATGTCTGTGAATCTTTTTCTGTTTTGTACATAGGTTTATTTGTATCACTTTTTTTTCTCTTTGAGATTTATTTATTTTTAGTGTTTTCTTTCTTTTTTTTTAACATTTTTTATTGAGTAATAGTCATTTTACAATGTTGTATCAAATTCCAGTGTAGAGCACAATTTTTCAGTTATACATGAACATACATATATTCATTGTCACTTTTTTTTTCGCTGTGAGCTACCACAAGATCTTGTATATACTTCCCTGTGCTATACAGTATAATCTTGTTTATCTATTCTACATTTTAAAATCCCTTCCCACCCCCCACTCCCTTGGCAACCACAAGTTTGTATCCTATGTCTTTGAGTCTGTTTCTGTTTTGTATTTATGTTCTTTTTTTTTTTTTTTTAGATTCCACATATGAGTG